TCTAACAATTCATTTGTAGTTATATGAGCACTCTTTTGTATCGAAAAGTTGTCTTTTAAATGCAAATGTAAAAAGCGGCCAAGTATTTGTCTATTTGATGGCAGTTTAGATCCAGTTAAAGTTTCACTTGTGGTGCCAATCAAATAAATACCACGATTTTTTGAATTTGTATAAGACATTATATTATGTACTGTACTAATGTGTTATATTAAAATATTTATTTTAATCAATTACATTGTAAAATGTACATACCAATAATTTAAGTCAATACTATTGAAAGGTCTGCAATCTGCATGTGTGAATAAGTGAATAATTGATTGTCTTCAGAAAAAAAATAATGAATTTAACTTCACTTTAATATAATAACAAACAAAATTTAACTCACTGGCATACGAATACTAGTAGAATGATACGAGTATTAACAATTTAATAGTTAATATAAAATGCATGGGTAAATAATAATCAAGTTTAATAATAAAAATGTAGATAATCAGTTTTATCTTGAAAAGTAGGTACCTTACAGAAAATCATATAGGTATAAAACTTTGAAACGCGTGAGCGACCTCGAAATATGTGATTATCTAAATTATATTTTTACCACAGCTATTTAATAACATATAAATCAATATTATAAAGTAAGATATTAGAAAAACAATTTTTTTTTTTAGCCTATATAGTTGAGTGGCACCCTAACATGCACATCTAATTTCCACTCATTGCTTTATACATCGATATTAGCTGTAAAAGATATGGGTGAAAATGTCAATGATATTTTAAACCAATGTACAACAATTATAAATTTTATTCGTGCAAGAGCTATTAATTCTCGTATTTTTTCTGTCATGTGTAAAGAATTTGGTTCAGTTTATAATAATGTATTATTTCATTCTCATATACGTTGGTTATCACGGGGAAAAGTTTTAACGAGATTTATTGAATTAAGGACTGAAATAGAAGTATTTTTAAGAGAAAAAAATTCACCGTTATCCGACCATTTTCAAGATACAATTTGGTTGGCAAAAGTTACGTATCTTTCAGATATATTTTCGTTATTAAATGAGTTAAATTTGAGTATGCAAGGGCCATTAACTAATATTTTTACATGTTATAATAAAATTGAAGCTTTTCTAAAGAAACTTGATCTTTGGATAAAACGAATTCAGGAAAATACATATGATATGTTTCCATCATATTATAATATGACTGAAGAAAAATTATTAAAAAAAAATGAAATTAATATAATGCAATGTCTAATTAAAACACATTTGTCGAAAATTAAAAAATAAATTATTAAAGTATTTCCCACCATCTCATGATATTCGATCAAACAATATGTGGATTCTTAACCCGTTTTTGCCCTGTGAAAATCATGAATTATCTTTATTAAATGAAAGCCAACTATTAGAATTATCGTCAGATAAATTATTAGAACAATCTTTTAACACTAAAAATGTAAACCAATTTTGGATATCTTTAAGAAATGAGTATCCTAATCTTTACGAAGAAGCATTAAAGAAATTAGTTCCTTTTGCAACAACATATTTATGTGAATCCGGATTTTCGACACTAACTACGATCAAAACCAAAGCAAGAAATAAGCTTGATGTCGAACCCACGATGCGTATTTCACTTACTAACTCCATAAAAGCTCAAATTGATTCATTGGTGAAGCAACATCAAGACCAAGGGAGTCATTAAGTTCTTCATTATTTAAATTAAAAATTATTTAAAAAAATATGTACAATACAATTATTAAAAGAAATGTTTATTTTTAAATATAATTTAATTAATATTATGACCTGTTATTAGTACAAGTAATATGAGTAAAAAAAAAATATTAAATTAAGAGTACCCAATAGTTATTTTTTATTCTGCCATTGAACATTATTTTATAAAAAGGTCGCATGAAAAATTTGGTAAATATCTTGGGTCGCCACTACACAAAGGTTAAGAACCGCTG